CCACGTGTGTCATTGTCATGGTCATTGTTGAAGCTACAGGTCTGCAGAGAAGAGTGCTCCTCTCCCAGGCCCCCCCCCCCCCCCCCCTTCACTCTGCCTGGCTGCTTGTGAGGCTGCCGTCGTGTGGGGTTCACCCCCACCTTCACCGCCATTCCACATTGATCCCCCCTTCTCCTTTCCTCCTGCCCCTCTGGCTCCTGGGAGAGAGTGAAGAGAGAGGAGAGGAAGGGAGAGCAAAGAGAGCAGCAGGCTTCCAGGGTGGTTGGGGCAGGGCCGAGGCCTGAGGAGGAGGAGGAGGAGGAAGGAGGTGGTGTGCTGGCATTTTGGCCGACCGAGCTGCTTGAGTCTGATTGTTTCCATCGCCGACAAATAAAACTCCACGTCTTTGTGCTAAAAACACACAACAGTCTGTCCGCGAGGCGCACAATGGCACGCTCTCAGAGAACAATGGCCGAATAATCCACCGAATGACTGTTTGCATTTTTACGTCTGATCCGAGGCAGAAACGGTTTCCTGCAGGATGGGGTGGTTCTTTCCAGCAGCTCGCTCCTTGAGATGTGGCTCCCCTTCACTTTAACGCCACGCTAATGATGAGTGACACGGGTCCTCATCCTGAGAGCCCTCTCCTTGCTGTGCTCCTCTCACCCCCTCCATCTCCAGGGAACAGATTATTTGCCCGTTTTTTAATTGCGTTTTAATTTACATCTAAGCCTGGAAGCTGCAGATTTTCTCCATGAAGCACCATGTTCTCCCGGCTTTAACCTCAATCTACCGCAGGTTGCTTTTCAGGGGGGTCAACACCACAACAGGAACAATCGAGTGTCTGAGTCAGGGAGGCCAACGGAAGGCGGAAGTGGGGTCGATGGGATGATGGAGCTGCCATCTCTCCATCAAAATGTAATAAGAAGGAAGAGTGGACAAAGAGCTCCGCAGACAGACAAGTTTAATGTGCTCCACTATCTATATGGAAATTCAGCCACACAGGCGTTCACCCACAGCTGCTGCTGCTGCTTCTTCGTTCTCCATAATTCATTTGGGGCTTTGATTGGCTGCACGAGGGGCGAAGGAAGAAAGAAGGAGCAGAGATAAAGCAATAAAGATTTGTATTCAGTTTAGGGAGATAAAGCCCAGCTCAAAGTGTTTTTCTGCCTTCCACAGCAGTTTGCCACCTCGACATAAACAAAGACTTTTCTGCTCCAGATGATCTGTTCAGCCGTTGTTTCCCATTCAAAAAAAAAATGAACACTCTTCATTTCCAGCTGTTTCCCCATCTGTCTGTGTTTCCACATCCAGAAAACTCCCAACAGTATAATCCACGCTCGACTGTATGGAATCACCTCCCACACCGATCGCCTGAGGGAAGACCCGTCAGGGCTGCTGGTGTGTGTTCCTGTCAGTCAGCGCCCTGTCACCAGTGAGCGCGTGCAGCAGACATCATACTCTTAACACAGGAACTCGGTGTGTGTCACAGGTAGTGCAGCTCGCCACATCAGAGCAGGAAGGCCTCTTCCTGAGCACAGACAGCTCTTTGTCTGCTGCGGCGTCCTCTTTTCTGCTGTCCAGCTGAGACTGAACGGGCCCAACACAACACATGCATCAATTTACTGCTGCTGGAAAGACAAGTGGCTTAACGAACTAAAAACAATCTAAACGTGTTGTTTTTCTTGGTTAACGTCCACAACAGGATCCGAGCTGTTAGACTTTGGCTGCATAATTTATATAATTTTTAAGTAAACAGTTGATGTGAGTAACTTTTTTAAAATATATTTGGCACTTTTTGAAACCTTGGTGACATTAAAGAAACAAACAAACAAAAAAAAGCACAGTCTGATGCAAATCAGGAGAAAAACAAAGAAAGTTTGTCTAAATGGCAGCTTGTTCTAGAATGGAAGGATTTTTATTGAAACCTTTTTTTTTGTTTACTTTTGAACATTTGTTATGAGGCGTAACCATAACCACAAGGTGGTTTTCTACAACTGGGAGCTGTTGATTAACATCTCAAAAGCTCAAGTAAGACCTCAACTACAGCCCCAAATCACAAGTGAGTTGAAAAGGAGGTGCCGTGGATGCATTACCGTCTACCTGGAGGTGGTGCTCGAGTGCCTGACCGCAGAGATCTTGGAGGCGGGAAACGCGGCTCGTGACAGCGGGAGGACCAAGATCGTCCCCAAGCACCTGCAGTTAAGTCCGCTGTGACGAGGGGCGCAGCAGGCCAGGAGAAATGGCCATAGCTAGGGGGAGGAGTTATGTCCGGCATTCAGGCAGTCCTGCTGCCCAAGAGGACCGAGAGGTCTGCTGGGTCTGGGTGGACGGATCGGCATCTGCAGCCAGATTCTTTGGATCTGCTGTGGGACGGACTGCTACGAGATCCTCCCTGCCCAAAGCCATCAGCATCTATACCAACTCTACTGAACCCAAGATGAGCTACAACGACAATTAATTTCCCTTTGTGATTAATAAAATATTTT